GAAGACAACTGTATATAGCAGAGATAGTGTAATAAGAGAGTGAGAAAGGGCAGAGGGTCAAACATAGGGTAAAAAACATATATATACATATACATGTATATGAAAGTAGAAATGGAATATTATTGATGATAACATGCATGTTTAAGCCACTATGCAGTTTATTCTAGATGGGAAACCACATTTAGTATGTTGTGATGATGCTCAGGGAATGAATGTTAAGAAATTAAAATAAAAAAGTTTCAGGAGAAAAAAAAACAGTAAAACTGTTCTTATTGAAATTTTTAAAAATGCATATTTGATGACTGCAGCAAGCTATATAGCCCCAGCTAGGTACTACTTCATAGTATGTTCATTCTACTCACTGAGGTTTATGCCTACAGTCAGACTTGGATTCATGTATAGGTATATATCAGCTGCACTTGCTATTGGAAATATTTAGACTAATTAAGTCCCTTAGCAAATCAATTAAATGGGGGGAAAGGCATAGAAAGCAACCATGGATACCAGAGACAATGTGGGAGGAGAGTGGGACATGGCAGAGGGTGAGGGATAGGGAATCAAGGATGGAAAAAAAAACACAAAGTATACAAGACATAAGAAATAGAAAATTATTTGCTGATAACATGTATGTCGATATGCTTGATTGAGCCAATATATACAGTGTATTTTGGATGGAAAATTCATTTGTATGCTGTAATGATGTATAGTGAATTAATGTAAAAAAATAAATTTAAAGAAGAAATAAAAAGATAGATGTGGTTCAATGTAATATAGAAAACATTATGATAATAAATAAAATTTAAAAAAGATATTTCTCAATGAATGCAACCATTACCATTTAATTCTATTTTTCAATGCTTTATAAACAAAGTAATTGAAGACTTAATACATATTCACTCTAATATACTCCTCCTTTTTTTTAACCCTGTGAAAATATTAGAAGCAATCCCTTAGAGTCTAAAACCATTATTTCTCTCTTATGCATGTATTAATTTATTTACTTTAATTTTCCAGAGGGAGTGTGCACTTGCCAGAGAGTGATGTGGGCAGGAAGAATGAGAAAAGCTTCCCCATGGGGCATAGTCTCACCACAATCCCTTCTCCTTCATTTCCTTTTTGTTTGGGGATCTTGGACACATGTTTATGTGCCTAGCATGTTTCTCAAGCAGCCAGGTCCAGGATTCAAAATGCACAGTCGGCCATGTGGGATCCAGCTGCCTTAACCACTATGCCATGAGCTACCCCTTTCTCTCTCTTTCTTTTTTTTTTTTAAGTTTTATTTAAGTTTATTAATTTCCTGAGAGAGGTGGAGGTCACCCTCAATAGAGTCTTCATGTTGTGATTGTCCCTACAGACCGGAAGCCAACCAGGATCACAGGCATGCCCCATAGTTGAGGTACTCACAGGACATAAACCCATAACCCTTCCATATGTCTTCCAACCATATAGGCCCCTGATACCTGCACCACCATAGTTAGTCCTAAAATTTTTTTTTTTTTTTTTTTTTGTCATAGGGCTAGAGAGAGAGAGAAAATGATAAATCACCCACCAGGAGAAATGTCCATGTCGTAATCCTCTCCCCTCCTTTCTCCTCTCAGGGTTTTGGGCATGTACACACACACACACACACATACATGTGTGTGCGTTTTGTATATGTGTGTGTGTATGTGTGTGTGTGTATGTGTGTGTGATACTGTATGTGTGTGTGTGTGTATGTGTGTGTGATATCTGGCTTGATTTTTAAGCCACCAGGGTTAAGTTTCAAACCGCAGTTAATCAAGTAGGAGTCAAGCACCTTAATCCACCATGCCACCTGCTGGCCCTAAAACTATTGTTTTTAATACCTGCATACTCAGGTAATTTCCACATAAACACATTTTTTTAATTGCCAGAGGATACATGCACTCACCAGAGAGAGACAGAGAGTTAGAAAGAGAGAAAGCACTCCATAATGGGGCACGATCATGCTGCAATCACTTCTCCTTCGTTTCTGCACCCCATTGGTATTTGGGCACACATACATATGTGCTTGGTGTATTTAGCAAGTCACTGGGGCCAAGATTAACACCATGGTTGGCCATGCAGAATGTGGCTCCCTTAACCACTAGGCCATGAAACAGGCCCATGTAAACACATTTTTTTTTTGAGAGATTTTCATTGTAGGGCGTGTGCGCTCGCCAGACAGAGAGAGACATAGAGACAGAAAGAGAGAAATCACCCCCCGGGGGGATGGTCACGCCGCAATCCCTTCTCCTCCATTTTCCTCTTGGGATCTTGGGCACGCACGCACACGCGCCCGGCGTGAGTTTTAAGCCACCGGGTCCGGGACACGAACCGCGGTCGACTATGTGGGAGTCCAGCGACATAGCCATTACGCTAACTGCTGGTTCCCTGTAAACACATTTTTTATAAATGTCTAATTTCTGTATCTCTTTCCTCAAGATTGCAGAAATTCTTTCATTCTATAGAAAATCAAAGTAGATAGATATATTTTTTTTTCTGTCATATTCCTCGTTTTTTTCTGACAGGAACTGTAAAGCCCCCAAACTGGCCTATGCCTATCTATTATTTGGATGCTGATGACCCAGGGAACAACGGCTTCATCAACGAGGACTTCATTGTGTGGATGCGCACGGCTGCCTTTGCCACGTTCAAGAAACTGTACCGGCGGCTCAATCGAATACACTGTTTTATTGAAGGCTTGCCTGCTGGGAATTATAGCCTCACCATAGCCTACAGTATCCTTTCAGGCAACTTTTCTTTCTGGGGATGAAGGGAAATCTGGCTACTCATCCAATTATTTTATTCTATACTTTTCTATTGTCCAATTAAATCTGGAAAGGAAAGCAAGGAGGGAGGGAAGGAGGGAAGGACAGAAGGGTTAGTTTAACAAGATTTATCTGTACAGATTTCTCTCAGCCTGACTCGCTGCTTCTGGTAATAAGAATGTTTCTTTTCTTCATTATAGGGAGGCATCTTTCACATGGGAATTTTATCTCTTGCTTTCAGGAAGAAAAAGTTCAGAGTGTCCTTCTTACACCTATATTTTTAAAGTGCATTTAGCTCAGAATAATCAAGATACTGACAAGGAAATAACCAACTCTGCAGAAGTAATAATTAATGTGGTTTATTTCTAAACACAAATATGTGTAACTGACCCTGAGAAAGGCATGTTTACCTTTCTCTGAGTGATCAGATACAGGGGTTCCTTTTATTTGGTTTTGAGAGTGAGAGAGAAGGTTTGGAATTTAGTGAAAAGAGTTTTCTCATTAGTCTGGCCCCAAAAGGCAGGATATATGGAAGTGGGGGGTTGTAGGCCATAGGTGGGTTTTACAATTCTTAGGTTGGTTATTGGAAAGGAAGGTCTGTTTAGGAAGGCATCAGCAGGCATTGTACTTTAACAGAGATAAAGTGGCTTGCGTACATCACAAAATACTGTCCCAAAGACAGGATGTAGGAAGGATCCTATTATTGAAGAGTCAAAATGGTCTCTTAATGTTAGTGGGTATGACTTCACCCCAGATCCTATGGAAGAGATTTTGGAAGTATGAAAAAACAATCAGGTTTATGTCTTCAATGCCAAAGTAGCATATTTGGGGATGATCTGTCCCGAACCCCCTTTGTCTGTCATTCCATCACCATGTAGTTGTTTGTCACCCCATGGCGTACTTAAATTTCTCCTTTTCTGTCTTCTTTTTTGGATAGAAGTAGAGTAGTAATCAATAGCATCAGGTAAGGAGGAATGACTATGTAGGGAAGGACTATTTCTGTTCCTCACGAAATATTCAATAACACTGGGCCAAGAGATCTAAGACACTGAGGAGAAGTGTGCTGCCTAGAATCAAATGAGGTGCAAGATAACAAAAATAGAGAGGGGCTTGATAAATAAATTTTGAATAGGGACTAAAAGTAACTAAAGCTGCGAGAGACTATAGAACATTGTATTCCAGGCAAATGTATAATAGACCAAGGGAGCCCTGGACTCAGGGACAGGCCCGGGTAACCCAGCCATAGGTGTGCTATGAGCTCTGCAGCAAGAGCTGATGCTTTGATTATGGATGTATGGTCCAAGTCAGGAGACAGATACTCTCATTGATAAGACATTCTGAATTTTTCACTTCATTTTAAAATACAAATGTAACTCTTGATTTAAAATCTAAAAGGTTTTTGGGCTAGTAGGTACTGTAGTGGTTAAGGTGCTGGACTTTCACATGACCAACTGAAGTTCAAGTCCCAGACCTTGTGACTTGAAACTCACACCAGGCACGTGTGCTTGCATGATCAACATCCTGAGAGAAGAATGAGGAGAAAAGATTGGGACATGGCCATCTGCCCTTGGGGGAGTGATTTCTTGCTTTCTGTCTTTCTTTTTCTCTCTGGTGAGTACCCACGTCCTATAGCAAAAATCTCTTTTTAAAAATTCTGAAAGATTCTATCTTATTTTAGTTTAGTTTTAGTTTTTATATTGCTTTAGGGCATGTGCACTAGTCAGAGGTGGGGAGAGAGAGAAATCACCTGCCAAAGGGTATGAACATCCTTCAATCCCTTCTCCTTCATTCTCTTGGGATTTGCGGCATGTACCCACATAGGACTTGAACTGTGCAGTCAGTCATCTGGGATCCAGCACCTTATTCCACACCACCTGCTGGCCCCAGACGATTTTAATTTTTAAATGGCATCAAATACTATCTTTAAGAAATTATGTATTTGAACACAATTTACACTAACTCTGGCCTTCGTACTTAACAAAGTCTCTTTATAGTTCTCCTGAGTGGAATTCTCCTGGAGGCAGAATCTTGACAGGGCTTGTACACACACAGCTTTGAAACTTCACCTCCATTAGGCATCAGCACCCTCTTGTAGCCTCTCTGGACTTCTGTCTCAGACTGTTCAATGGGACTCCCTTGCCCTACCCATGCCATCTGGCCAGATGTTCTTGACACAAAATCATTCCCCTCCTTAGTCTCTTCACCTCTCAGAGAGTTGAATGAGAAATTCTTGTAGGAAAGTGGACAGTGTGTGTGCTACAGGTTCCTGCTCCATCCTTTCCCCTTCCTCTGCTACATTATGTGAGTGAAAATCTCCATTCTGACAGGGAACTGGGGACATTCCTCCATCAGAGATGTCGCCCTGATGTGATGCGCTCTCTGCCTTTCAGCTTTTTGCCTCCTTTTTTTACTCACCAGGAGTCTAGTTTTTCTTTAGTTAGTTCCTCTAGAGGGGTCTAATTCTACTCTTTGAAAATGAAAGCTACAAATTGCCTGTCTTGTGGAGCTTTATAGATGCAGATCAGAGAGTAAAGCTTTTGAACAGGAATTTCAGCAAACCCTTCTCTCAGTAAATAAATTAATATAAGTAGAGATTGAAAGTTGATTGACAGTGGTCCCTCCAATTGAATCTCTGATCCCATCCACTTTGTGACTGCCTTACCAGTAGAGTGATTATAAACTCATTCAAGAGACAGAAACACACACACACACACACACACACACACACACACACACAAAGAAATCCTGCCTTTTGTCTTCACAATGCATTACACTGGGTTTGCAGGTAGAACATGAAGAAGAAGGCTATGTTCCAAACAAGGGACACGCTCAATTTCTTTCTTCTCTTGGGCTGTGTTCTCCTTGGGTGACTTCATTCACCATCACGTTTTAATGCTGGTCACTCTCAAATCTGAATCTTTCATGAGGAACTTTAGTCCTGAGCTTCCGTCCCATGCTTGTACTGGATGGAGTTCACAGTGAAGATTGCCCTGCCAGTCTTTTGGCCTGGCTAACATAGGAAAAATCAAGCCAAGGCTGCAGAACATACTGGCCACTTCAAAGGGGAAAAGATGATTTGTGTGTGAGAACAAGACCCCCCTCCAATAAATCTGAGAGGAAGAAAAGTGACAGGCAGATTGGTTGAGGTGGCACCAAGGGCCTGGTGACAATAAGAATTCTGATGTAAAGGAAAAGAGAGTTACCTAACATGTTTCCTAGTGCCTTTAAATAGCAGGTTGCTATTTGATTTGAAGCCTTTTAAGAGCTTTTCTGGGGGACCAGTAGTTAGCGTAATGGCTATGTCGCTGGACTCCCACGTAGTCGACCGTGGGTCGCATCCTGGACCTGCTGGCTTAAAACTCATGCCGGGCGCGTGTGTGTGCGTGCCAAAGATCCCGAGAGGAGAATGGAGGAGAAGGGATTGCGGCGTGGCCATCCCCCCTGGGGGGTGATTTCTCGCTTTCTGTCTCTCTGTCTCTCTCTGTCTGGCGAGCGCACACGCCCTATAGCAAAAACCTCTTAAAAAAAAAAAAAGCTTTGCTGGGAAATGCCTCTGTCCTGTGTGTTGCTATGAGAGTCTTTGTTTATCAGTTTGGTTTATGAAAGGGACCAGATGTTTAAAAACCTCAGGCCACATGCATGATCGAAATGACATCATACAAATGCTAACGATAGCAAACCCACTTCAAACACTTTCTCCCCAGCAACAGGGGATACTAGCCTTTTAAAAACTAAAACAAATGCATCCCCTTTAGCTTTACCACCAAAAATGTTTTTGCCACATACCTCATTATTTTAATTAATTTATTCTGTTTTATTGTTGTTCACACCCCTTGAAGAATTTTCCCCATGGTAGGAATTCAGTCCTTAGCCTACTAAGGACTTTAGCCTGAATTTGGTCTCCTGATTCATACATGAGAAAGTTATGTTTGCTATAAATCTTATCTGTATTCTTTTAATTTCCTTGTGTTCACCAAAGGAAATTAAACATATTTGCTCATTATGCAGTTGTCTGCATGTCATTTATACCTACCTGGATCAGAATTTCTTTTGTAGATTACAACTGTGTAGAGAGAAGTCTTGTGTGTACTTAACTTCATCCCAGCAAAGTAGAGTACTAGTTGGTAAAGATGAGATTGAACATATGAAATTGAATATTCAATTGTTTTTTTTATCTACAAAAAAAAAGAGCAATTTTATGTGGCTCAACCTAATCTATTTAGTGTATATAATAGAGATGAGAAGTGCTGGGATGGATCCTTAACAGGTCTTCTTAGACTTCCCAGTTACCAGGTTCCAAGGAGAAAAATCCGTTGTTCTTTCCACCCTGACATGGATCGGAAGTAATGGCTTCTTCTTAGGTCTTGCCTATATGGCGACAGGAGCCATGACGTGGTTGGCCACCGTTTTCCTGATGGTAATCTACTTCATGAAAAAAGGTGGAAATGAGTCCATCTCCCATTAATAAAGTCAAGATTTAAAAAGAAAAGTGGAGCACAGAAGTAAAGTAGCAGAGCCACAGATTTCATTTTTTTTCTTTTTTAAAAAATTATTTATTTAATTTCACTTATTATTACTCTTTTTAATTTGCTACAGGGCACACACACTCACCAGACAGACAGAGGAGAGAGAGCAAGTGAGAAAGCAAGCTGCCAGGTTTGGGACTCAACCATGGTCAGCCACATGGGAGTCCAGAACCTTCACCACCATGCCACCTGCTGGCCCAGAGCCACAGATTTCTGACAAGGCTTGAGATGACTGGGACTTTGCAAAAAGGGAATTGGCATTGACTGAACCAAATGCAATCCCAGATAGAAAATGAGAATTTTAGAGTTGAAAAGAAGGTGAAGGGGGGAAGGCATAATGATGTGTAGTAAAATGTTCTTGGAATGGGAGGCAATAAATCATCCTTCAGCCATAGACCAAGTCTCAGTTTATTTGACATCCTTGTGTCTGAAGGCAGGTGATGTCATTGGCAGGCAAGAGTAAGTAAACTAAGCTTCCCCAGATTGGGAGGAGTCCTTTCATCTACCTAAGTGGGATCAGATTATGAGTCTTCACTGTTTGGTTAAAATAATATAGACTTTCCAACACTTTTTGAATTGAGTTAAGCAACAGGATGATTTTTGAAAACAAATTGGTTTAGTCCTCTCCTTTCTATGGAGTCAAAATGAAGTTTTCTGTGCTAATAATATACCAAGCAAAGGTTGGAGCAGGTTCCTGAGCATCCAAAATTTAGTAAGACATCAAAAACAAAGGCCAGAAGTCTCCCTAAAGTTGTCCATGGGGCAGAGCAAGATACAACATGAAAGTGATAGATTTTCAAAAAGTGTACTCAGCAGGTTGAGATACAAAACAATTCTAGACTGGTATGATATATTCTAGAATGCAGATGATACCCTGGATTTATGATAGCTGAATTATATATATTGATAGAGCTTCTCAGGTGTCCATCTTAAAAAGTTTTAATTCTTGCCAAAGATCACTTACAGGAGATTGGATGAAACATTTGGTGAAGCTGCCAGGGCATGAAGCTCCATAGATCTGTGTACCTTATGACCACAATATTAGACTTTTTAATATATTTTTAGGGCTGGCTCTGTGGCCTGGTGGTTAAGGCAGCCATATTCCATATGGCCAGCCACATAGTTTGAATCCCAGACCCAGCAGCCTGAGAAACAGACTGGATGTATTTTCATGTGTGCCCAAAATCCCAAGAGGAAGAAGAGATAGAAGTGAAGAAATTGCAGTGCGACCATTCCCCATGGGGGAGGGTGGTGCTTTCTCTTCTCTTTCTCTCTGTCTCTGGCTAGTACATGCACTCTCTAGAAAAAACAATTATATTAATTTTTTTGAGATGAGAAATGCTTTAGTCCATGATGATTCTAACAGAAGAACTGTCATCACTAAAGAAAAAGTACAATACCAATTGGTATGTCCCTTTAGGAGCAAAGAAAGCCTTTGTTGCAACTTTCTGCACTCACCAAATAATTGAGTACTTTCCCTAAAATTAAGTACCAACTCTGAAATCCCTCCTCTATCTCACCTTCCATCTGTAACCATTTACCTCTGGTGACCAGGTGTGGTAAGCTAAAGAGTGCCCAGCCCCCACTGAAGGTATTGACATTCTAATCTCTGGAACCTATAAATGCCACCTTCCATGTCAAAAAGACTTTGTTGGTGTGATTACATCCAGGATATTTCTTTATGTGACACTAACCCAGGCTTTCTGGGAAGTGATCACTAGGGTCCTCATAAGAGAAATCAGGCGGAAATCAGAGAGTAGGATCTGGACCTGGAAGCTTGAAAATTATGCCTGGCACGTGTGCATGTGTGTCCAAAATCCCAAAAGGAAAATAGAGGAGAGAGGATTGTGACACAGCCATCCCCCAAGGGGGTGATTTCTCACTTTCCCTCTCTCTGTCTTTCTCCAGTGAGCACATGCACCCTATGGTAAAAATCTTTTTAAAATGAAGTGGCCTCTAGAAGTTGAAAAAGGCAAAAAATCAAATCTCCCCTGAAGCCTTTAGAAGTCCTGCTTACACCTTGATTTGGCCTCCAAATATGTAAGAGAATAAATGTATGTTTTAAGCACAGAGTGTAGAGTAATTGTTACAGTGCTGATAGAAAACACATATTCCAGGCGATGACAATGTACTAGGCATCTGAGCAATCATTTTTGGAGCTTAGGTGACCTGTCCAGGGCAGGGTGCTAGGAAGGGACAGAGAAGATCCTGGGCTCACAGATCGTTCATCCACACTGCTTGGTTATTGTATTGCTTAGAAAAGCCATGAATGCGTTCATTATATCCCAACCTTGCTCATCAGTAAATACCAGTAAGGTGAATGTATAGACAGACAGATAGAAAGAAAAAGGAAGAAAAGAAGGGAGGAAGGAAGGAAGAAGAAAGAAGAAAAAGAGGGAAATGAAGGAAGAGAGAGGGAGGGAGGAAGAGAGAGAGAGAAAGAAAAAGAAAGAAAATAAGAGAAAAGGAGAAAGAAAGAAAGAAAGAAAGAAAGAAAGAAAGAAAGAAAGAAAGAAAGAAAGAAAGAAAGAAAGAGAAAAGGAAGAGGAAAAGGAAAGAATGGAGACAGGAAAGAGGAAAGGCTGGGAAAGACAAAAATCATAAGAAAGAAAGAAAGAAAGAAAGAAAGAAAGAGAAAGGAAAGAGGAAAGGAAAGGAAAGAGGAAAGGAAAGAGGAAAGGAAAGGATTGATTCATGTGATTGTGGAGGCTGGCAAATCCAAAAATCTGATGGAGAAGGCCTGCTCAGAAAAGGGTGTGTTCAAGTCCAGTAATGCTCTTCTGGACTTGAACACAATGTTGCAGGTGAGGTCTGAAATCACCTGCTGGAGAACTGCCTCTTATTTTTTTCTATTCAGGCCTTTAAGCAATTAGTTGAGGTCCACCTCACATTATGGAGGGAAATTTATTTTACTCAAGTCTTCTGATTTAAGTGCAAAGTTCATCCCAAAAACTCCTCACAAAAATATCCAGAATAATGTTTTATTAAACATCTAGGCATTCCAGAGCATGGCCAGGTTGACATACAAAATTAAACATCACAGATGCCAAGAAGGCATGGGTTCACTAAGCAGTCAAACACCTTTCCAAAAAAGTACTCATTTCCCTTTGTTCTAAGAATTGGCCTTATGGAAAGCCCTATATTGAAACATAAGTCATACAATTATTGGGTCAATTTTTAAAATACACAAGTCATGTTATGAGAAGTTATTCAAGAAAAATAACTGGCCAGAATGGATGATAGAAAGGAGACCGCACAGAGCTCCTGGTTTTTCCACTTCTTCGAAAATAGACACACCCAAAGCCGTTTATCTTGCAAGATTCTCACACTGCTGCAAAGTCTGGGTGCCATCCTCCTTAACCCGGTGATGAGAAGGGCATCAGCATTCACAAATCGCTCCCTACCCATGACAGGAAGCCTGACTCTTGTGGTTTTCTTGCTCTATTTTTCTACCCCCTCCACACCTTCTGTCATCTTGCTCATGTCTTCTTCATCCACTTCTTAAATTCTTTATCCTTGCACTTTTGGGAACCGATTGGTGGAAGCTTGGGAAAACTGGGTACAACTCGACTCTCTCCGACTCCTGGAAAGAATGCTGGAGAGAGAGAAAAGAAAAGGTGAGCAGGCCAGCCTATATCCTAGCAGTTAAGGCAGCTGGATCCCATATGGCCGATGGTATGATTCAAGCCCTGAACTGGGTGGGCTGAAAAACACACCTGGTGTGTGTGTGTGTATAAGTCCAATATTCCAAAATGAGGAAGAAGTGGAAAAGAAGGGATTGTAGCGTGACCATGCCCCATGGAGGGTGCTTTCTTGCTTTCCTCTCTCTCACTCTGTCTCTCTCTCTCCAGTGAGTACGCACACCCTCTGTCAAATTAGAAAAAAAAAAAAAGGAGAAGAAAAAGAAGAAACAAAAAGAATGAGATCAAGAAAGAAAGAATGAAAACAAGAATCAAGAGCTTACGAGTGTGTATGTGAGTGTATGTGGCACTGTCAGGGTTTGGGGGCGCTTTTATTCTGGTAAAAGCTTTTCTAAGTACATAGGCAGAGGCAATAGGTAAAGCACTGAGTGGAAGGAAACTGCGGGTGAATAAAATCTTAGAGTTGACTTATATTTGAAATTTACATATTAAATTCTTACCTCATGTGACAATGCTAAGAACAACAAAATGAGCCAGCTGGGGTCTCTGCCCTAAAAGAGACTGATCTCACACAGATCGTAGTGTTCTTCTAAACCTTCATAGTTGAGCCCCTGCACTCCCATTTCCTGTGTTGGTCTGGCCTCTCCCACAGAGGTAAGGGAATGCTCTCACAGGGCAGCACCAGGCTTCTAAACTCTCTGTACAATCCCACACCTAAGCCCATGGTGGGCATAGACAGTTCAAGGTGTTTTAAGTTGATAAAAACTTACTGACTGGGGAAAAACAACGTCATCTTTCCTAGCCTGCACTAATGAAGGCTGGTTTTTCATCTGTTTTGCTTCATGCTACAGGCTTTGTTATGAGACGTTAATAAAAGAAACCAGCTTCAGACAGCTGCTGATGGTTTTCCTTTGCAGTATGTCCAACACAATTGCATAGCGCTATGCCTGTGGTTGTCAACATTTTTGTCTTTGGAGGTTCATAAAAGATAGGACTGCAGAGCAGATTTCTGCTGCCTTCTCCCCAGAGTAAGACACAGGAAAGTCAATCCCCCTTCTTGAAGCTAGGGGAGTCTCAGGTGCTCAGCCCTGAGTACCTGGGTCCTGACACCCTGGGTCCCTTTCATCAGAACTGGCTCACTGTTCCATTGCTAAATCAGCTTTGGCTTGACAAATAAAGCATAATCCTTTGAAGAGTTTATCACTGCTAATAAGGTTTCTAAAACCTCATTCTGCCTTCAGCTGATCAAAGCTTCAAACGTCATGAGTATTTTAGTTAGGAGAAGGGTTAGGGTTAGGTCTAGTGTTTGAGTTAGGGTGAGGGTTAGGTTGGGTTTGGGGTTAGGATAAGGGTGTAAGATTAGGGTTAGGGTTAAATTTAGGTTTAA